CCTCCCGTAACGGTTTGAAAGACTACTGCCAATGCATAGTATACAGGCAGGATTTCAAGTGCCTGAAACACAGTGTGAAAAATACATGCACATTTCAGAAAGAAACTCCTGAAGGAATTTTGATCAACCTTAATACCCCGTGTAAAAAATAAGGAAACTCCGGAGAAGAGCGAAAATATATTCCAACACTGCTACAACATTACCAACTACTCACCCGATATCGTAGTATTCCTATGTTCATCACATATACACTCGCAATCGAGAAAGTAACATTTAGAGTAACCAAGGCAGCATACGCCACTCCAGTTCCTCCTCCTTTATTGGAGGCCTCCACGTCATCTCCCAACAACAATATAGAAACACACTTGGCGAACAGGACCGACAACGCCCCCAGGAGAGCACTCAACGTTCCGAAGTACACAGACTCCAGCTGGCCGGTCCTCAGCCTTCTCACTCCAAGAGTGACCAACAGTGCTATCATACCTACACTCAGGGCCACAAACTGCGGACGGAAAAACAGACCCATGAGGGAGGCCCGAGTGAACTCCTGCGAGACGTGGCTCGAACAGGAGACGACCAGGAGGCTTCCAGCCAATAGAACACCCGTGGAATATAATGACACAGTAGAATGCTTTTCACCAAGGAGCATTGGTGCCAGTACTGAGTTGCTGATTAACGACGTGCTCCCCAATGACGATAGCATAGACTGGGGCGCCATACTCAGCGAAAATAGTGACAGCATCTGGCCCAGTAAGAAAACCACCAAGCCTCCTATCCACTGAGGCTGCATGTAAGGCGGTTTTCCACTTCGACATAACTTCACACTTCGTTTCTGCAATATCGTGCCCAAGTTGATTACAATACAGCTGACAATACACAGGAAGGCACCGAGTACCCACCTAGGGACGAGGAAAACCACACTGCTAGGGTGCAAGACCATTATGAAAGTATTGAAAATAATATAAACCTGATCGAGACACCGTGTGGGAAAATATGCACATAATCAACTACATGTATAGATGACATTTGCGGAAATTTTGAGGAAATTCTCATCGCTTCCTGTACACTCCTACCCGAATCCGTATGCGAGCTCCTGGACTCAGCTGAGGATTGCGATCAGATATTCCAACACGAGACACTCTATTCCCACGCTTGATGGGAAAGCCAGCAACACCTTCCAACGAGCTGATGAATACGAAATTTCTACTCCCGTCGTTCTGGCCCCCCCCCTAAACTCAACCGCTTTCTTCCAATATCAACACCCCACGTCATAGCATATCATCATGTAACACTACGCAGCTCGACAGGGAGATCTGTCCGCAGTACCAACAGCGCCATACTCTGGGGAAGACCTAACACATGCGGAAAAACGTCATCAGCATCAACCCAGCCCCAAGGCTTACCTCCCAGCCTGTACCCCCGCCCGAGAAAATGAGGATGGGAGTCCCCAATTAGAGCACTCCGACCCTTTCTCAGTGGACTTCCCAGCTTCAGCCGTCTCCTCTTCCTTGTCCAGTCCTGATACCACTAATCCGAAAACAAATGAAGGAAAGATGCCTCGACTCGAAATAGCGTTTACTTGTACCAAGCGCAAGTTTTTCACGCTAAACCCAAAATTTTCGCGAAATACTATAGGCAAAAATAGTGTCTTCAATGGTTTGGGTTGAATACATACGACCCATCGAACGTTTTAGCCCGGGTAAAAACGCACGCCCCTCCTCCTCCCGACAAAAATAATGGAAGCATATCTATCTCACCGTGCCAATCCAATGCCGATTGCGCTGCCATACAGACCTCAGACCTCTCCCCCCTTCCTCCAACAGAAGGCGCCTCGGACGCAGCAGCAGACCAAGACCATATGGACGAATCCGCCTCTTCTTCACTTCCAACCACAAATGCCATAGATGCTGCCCTCTCCCGTCCAAGTCGAAATGTCGATGCTGGGGATATCTCCGTCAGGTGGAGACCAGCCAGCTTGAACAGGGAAGCCGCTGATCAACGAAACGAAGGATCACAACAACATAGTATAGAAAAAATGGGAATTCTACAACAACAACAACAACAACAACAACAACAACAACAACAGCAACAACAACAACAACAACAACAACAACTACTACTACTACTACTACTACTACTACTACTACTACTACTACTACTACTACTACTCACCAGAGATACAAAATAAACGATCCAAAAATATCGACGCTTTCTACAGCAAAATATAGTCCATTCCCCATCTCACAAGCCTGCTGCATTTCGAAGCCCATTATAATCAATTCACGGTTGACCCTACCCGTCAGATCAGAGGTATTAGCTGGCCACCGATTGGCTCCTCCTCCCTCCTCATCCTCCATATACAGCTCCGGCAGCCGAGTCGAGAGGCGCACCCTACTTCGAGGCCCTTCCTCCTCCTCCTCGTCATCGACCGTCCTCAGCAACATCCACACTGCCACTACGTTCACCGCCACTCCAGTGCCCACCAGCACCCCTCCTCGCAGCCCTAGATGGTGAAACTCTGACAACAACAGTATTACTACTACCAGTACGCCCACCACACGCCCTTACCCTCAAAGTAAACACCAGCCACTACAGCTTGTATCACCGCTGCTATCGAATAGTACACTGGTAAAAACCATAGTGTCTGACAACATGAGTAGCCCAAGCCCTCCCA